TAATTTTATTAACTGAGCTCTTTGTAGACGGTTCTTTATTGATTTAGAATTTTTTTTATCGAACTCGCCCTTTAAGATTATAAACATAAGAGATTATTCATTCTTTAGCACAGAATTGTGATAAAGAAGTTAAAAAAACTTACGGCCACAAAAGAAGAAGTTAGAATAAGAAAATATGCTTCAATTAATAAAAAATAAGCGAAGAGCTTTTTATTTTCTCTCCCTTCTCATATGTCGGTATATGATAAGAGAGAATATTCTGATCTAAATCTCATGAATATCGTGGATTATCACTTATACATACAATTTTGGAATAATGAGGAAACTCATTAGCATCCACGTCCATCAATCTTCCACGTACTTGTTTAATTACCTTGAAATGTTCTAGCAAAACCAACCACAAACAAAACTATCAGCTGTCACTAACTTATTAAAGTAATATTTTCAGCAAATTAAACTGCATATAATTAAACACAATTTATATTTTGTAGAGAGCTACATATCTCCTGCAGAAAAGAATTGTGCTTTATTACCTAATAACAACATAGACAAATAATGAAAAGAGCAGTCTTCAATACCACTCAACTCATTTTATCATTCAGATTCCTCATTCGTGAACTGAATATATGCATCAATCCAAATAGTAGTTTGTAAGAAAACAATCATGTCAAAATCAATCTTTAGTTAGGGATTCAATGCAGAAAAATTCACCTTAATGAAACAAACAAATGTCACCGCAAACATGTAGAAATTAAAAAAACATCGAAATAGACAACCGAGAAACCACCATTATCATTTTCTTTCTTCTTCGCGACCTTTATAAAACCTCAATTATGTTCCCTTCTGCTTATAACCCATTTGCTACCTACTAATTACTAACCAGATCATCATTGTATAGCTAGCTAGAAGTAGCATGTCAATCATGAACATAAAATATAATAAACAATCATCACAACTCTACTTTCCATTTCAACATTCAAGAAATCGGGTTGCAATAGACATTCAAGAAAAATGATCAATTATTCAACCAAAGGAGGTATGCCCTAAGTCCAACCAATTAACCCTTCTAATTATATTTTATATACATGAAAGTATATGGCGACCCTTCTCAGTAAAAAAACAAAGACGAAATATATTCACTCATCGAGAGTGGGAAAATTTACCATCCTGCATTCGTAATTTGGAAGAAATTAAGAAAAGAATGAGAAAAAGAGTATAACTCGGCCAGTCAACCGCAAACAATAACATATCGCTGAGAAAGTGAGACCAGTTGCCAGCTTCAGATCAAGGAGGAAGAGGGTGCAGTCGACAACCCTCGGCTTGGTTCACCTCATATTCACAATGATCAGATTAACTTTTTTCGTCAATAGACAAAAATATGTTACAATTGCTCAAAAAAATCGTATGCATTACCATTTCCTTTTCTATAAGAATACAAATATTAGAAATCTCAAAAAATTAGCAACTAATAAGAGGGCTTTGTTTATTTTTATGGTGGTTGACATACTTTCTTGATTTCTTATTTTCAATGTTGGATTTTATTTCTAGAGAGACCATCAAAATGAGGAAAGGGATAGAAACAAATTAAAAGTTTGCATTAATAATTAATATATTTTCATTTAATAGAAATGAATAAGAAGTTTTAAAAAAAAATAACAATTATTGCTCTATCAAGTTTATATTCAGACATTTTGCTATATAATTTATACTTGTTTTATTTGATAGGTATATACATAAGAAAGAAGTGAGTGTTTGATAGCAAAAAAATATATAGACATATCGTTCATTTCTCAAAGTCGATTGACTGTCAAACGTTTATTTTCTCTTAGACCATCGTTTATATTTTGTATTGAAAAATATTAATATTTATATGTGTGCTTGTTTTTTTTTTCTTCATCAAAATGTAACTTATTATTAAGTTTTAGTAAAAATAAGTAGAAAATTTACTTAATCAGATTTAATCAGCTTGGGTTAAACAAATACAATATATGTTACTCTCTGTTTCCATCTTTATAGTTCGTTTAATCGAAAAAAAATTATTACTTAGGTGTGTGTTTTTTGTTTAAATGTTTTCTAAAAAATTAACTTATTTTAATTTTAGTAAAAATGAGTAGAATTATTAAAATAAGAGAGAGAACTTCATAAATAGATCAATAAATTGTTTTTTGTTTGAAAAAAAATTGTCCACCTTGGCAACTTGTGCATTCACCAAGTGCTTATGTGGCAAGAAGTTATTTTTGAATAGCCATAATATTCATCAAAATGTAACTTATTATTAAGTTTTAATAAAAATAAGTAGAAAATTTACTTAATCAGATTTAATCAATTTGGGTTAAACAAATACAATATATGTCACTCTCTGTTTCCATCTTTATAGTTCGTTTAATCGAAAAAGAAAAATAGATGAAAAATAGGCCTTAGGCCTTGGAACCCTAAAGTATTTCTGTCTTAAGACTTCTCCTCTCCAGGAATTTATACTTGTAGGGGTAACAGCCTCATACTCGTCGAATACCCGTTGAATACCGGTAGAATACCCTCAGAATTTACTCCTAAGCCCCGGTGTAACCCTAAGAATTATCTCTGGATACCCTAAGTATTTGTGTGTTTTTTGTTTAAATGTTTCCTAAAAAATTAACTTATTTTAATTTTAGTAAAAATGAGTAGAATTATTAAAAGAAGAGTGAGAGACAACTTCATAAATAGATCAATAAATAGTTTTTTGTTTGAAAAAAAATTGTCCACCTTGGCAACTTGTGCATTCACCAAGTGTTTATGTGGCAAGAAGTTTTTTTTGAATAGCCATAATATTTAGTATAGATAGATAGATAGATAGATATAGATTATTCACACCCAATTGTAATTAACTCATAATCAATGTACATTCCTACTATCCAGGCTCCTAATCAAGTTGTTTTATGTTTTAACCTTTTTTCTTTTTCTTTTGCAGATAACTTAATATTGATTGGAAATTTGAAATTATTTAATCTTTGGTTATAAATTTTAATTATGTCAACCCAAAATTTTGAAAAGGGTAGTTCTAAGCGTAAAAGAAAATAGAGAATTGAGGAGTCTGGGTACTAGTAGCTGATCTTGATGGAGATTGGAAAATTAGAAGTGAAGTTAAATATTTGGCACAAAAGGAACTTGGTGATTTTGAGTTTATTGTTTCATTTGTTATTTGGTATGAAATATTGCACTCAAAAAATTCGGTTGGTAAACATTTATAATCCAAAGATATGCTTATTGATTATGCTATTTTAGAAATAAATAGATTGATCTCGTTTTCAAAATATATAAAGAATATGAAAGGGCTAGTAGAAGATTTTATTTCAAATAATAATAACTATTGTTACTTTTTGAACAATGATAGATAATATTATTACTTTCCTAATAATTTAGGAACTTATTTAATTTTTATTATTATTTAATAATTATTATTTTTAATATATTTATGGAAAAGAGTTTGGAGTCACATTTTAAATTGTCGAATAGGGCCTTCAAATACCATGGATGGCCCGACATAGATCAATCCATTGACCTACCATTAGATCAAACATCCTGTCCATTCTCCACTCCTAGTGGTACATAGAGGACGGGCAAATGAAGAAGGGAAGAAAAAAAAGGGAGAACGAAGGCGTGTGGCGGGGAGCAGGAAGAGCTAGCTCAACATTATGGCACTTTTAAGTTCTAATTAGTTATTAGTGTACTCTCACTCTCCATGTTGCCCCTCTTTTGCCACCACTCGTCGCTAAAGATCAGCCTACTCTATTTATGATTTTATCTCCCACGCCCCTACTCTGCCTCTTCTATTTATTTGGCTTTGTTTTGCCATTTTTGTTCATTGGTAGTTTGGTCCATACGCACCCATCGACCCCACCTCCCAATTCATAAATTCCCCATAGTACATATACATAGTCAGGGTTGGACGTTCGGGTTCGGGTTCGGTTCAGCGGGTTAACCAAAATCAAAACAAAATTCGTCAATTCATGGGTAATCGAGAAAAGAAAATCGAACAAACTAAATAACTGAATATAACCCGAATTCAACCGAATTTGTGCCTAATCCCCCATGTCATTTCACTACAATGCATCTTTTTTTTATGACATACAATATGTAGATTTTTTTTTTGTCTGATAGGAACAATCATTCATTTTGAACGATTGTACAATTTCATAGATGAGATTGTTTCCTTTTTTTTTCTTCTGGTTTTGTCCTTTATTGTTTGTCTCTCTTCTCATCCGGGAACAAGATAATCGAACACAAGATATGTTAATTTGTCATAAATCCGTCAGTTAAATTGTTTTAAAAGAGTTATGATCTTTAATTTCATCAAGGGTTCCACCATTCCAAACAATGTGTTTTTTTAGTTATTCATTAAAACGGACGAAGGGCGGAAAGATATAGTTATCTCAAGTGAGGTAACCAATCGTATAAACCTAACCCCACTCCAAAATAAATATAAGTATAGCACAAATTGGACGACAGGACGGAAGGACTTAGCAAAGTCAAGTGAGCTAGCTAATCGTATAAACCAAACCCCACTCCGAAAATATAAATATGGGGATACGGAAGGACTTAACTAACTCAAGTGAGCTAGCTAATCGTATAAACCAAATCCCCACTTAAAAAGTAGATATGGGAGTAGGGAGGTAGTCCGTCCCCATTTAACCCACGATAGTAGCAGCGTGAAAATTAAACGCATAAGAGTAGAAAATTACCAAAACCTTGTTCGTTCACCAAGCAGAAGAAACGAGAATAGTGTAAGTATGCTATACCAATAAATTACCTAGAAGTTAAATAAACTTCTTATGGTAATCTATGAATGTAACATATTACCGCTAATCTCAAGAGTTGGAAATTTTATCGTACAAAGCATATGACTTTGGATTGAAACACGACTATTACAACGAAGATTTGGCAGAGTTTCGACAAGGAAGAAATGGAATGGAAACAACAAGAAGAGAAAGGATTCTATTGTCAAATGAGTCTCCCAATTTGCCGTTGTACGCTGTTATTTATAGAGCAAGCTAGCTAGTCCAAATAAATGAACAAGAGCCTTCCTTTGAAGTTTCCAGTTGCTTGTCTTAAATTGTTGCGCCTAACAGCTGCTTGCTTGAGCTAGTTGCTTGCGGAGAAGACGTGGCCTCCGAATTTACCAGCTAGCTTCCCATTCTCCCACTTCACCGGCGCTAATTAATGGCCACCTGGAGTCTAGCTTGCTTGCAGATTCTCGTTCCTGCTCCCAATTGAATAGCTGCTAGCTTCAGCACCCTGCTTGCTTGGAATACCCGTTTAATTCAGCTGCTAACTTACAGTACTCGAATTCGAACTAGCCTGCTTCTCGAATTCGGACCAGCCTGCTTGAGCTGTAAGCTTGTACTCTTCCATTTGACGTGGGCCAATTTCAATTCCATGCATACATAGGTTCGTGGTGGAATGTATAAGCATTGAGCTTGATTGCAAGGGGTACAAATTTGAAAATTTTGAGTACTCATCTCGAGCTCACAATCCTATCTCCAACGTTGGTTCGTCATTTCACTTTTTCAATCATGATTTGAGATGAGTTGACCACTTTCTCTCCTACATGTCTCTGAATATCCTGAAACATCAAAACACACAAAACCAAGCGTAAAACTGGAAAACAAGTGAACTTATTTTGTGTTACAAGCCAATTGGATACTTAAATGTGGGAAAAATATGTGTATTTCTAGGCGTATCAAATTCCCCCACACTTGAGTCTTTGCTTGTCCTCAAGTAAAGCACATAAATCCCGAGTTCAATTGTAAAACCTTTTTACACATAGTGGGAAATAAGGTGAATCACAAGTAACAATCAAAATCGAAACAAAAAATATTATAATATGGATGTTGGCAACCACCACCGTCGACATGTGATCATAACACTCCTGTGACATGGGAAACTCTTACTTAGATGCAAGAACTGCATGAAAACCGGATTAGTTCTCATCATTTTCAATTGTTTAAACATAGGAATCACAAAGCATAGCATGAGAGATAGAGCACGTAGGATCTCACTTTAAATTTTTAGAGATGATTGAAAGTCTCTCTAACTCGACCAGTGGGGTCAGGGAATGAATGTATGCAAAAGTAAAGATGACTTTCACATACATTTTAACGACACTCGGCCTACCATCTCTCTGCCATGAGCATATCATTCGAGTATTCAAATTTGTGCCACCACTGACTTGTCCGGAGGTCTTTAGAATGGGTAAAATTGTGGTTGGGGGCATGGACATGTGAAAGTTCATTTAATCTGGTGGTAAGTTCAAGGTTCCACAATTTTCATACCAAAATAATGACCTTGCTGCTTTTCTAGTAGGATGATTGGAATGGGAGAAAGCATTCAGAGATATTTTGGAGTTTGAAAGTAGCGGAATTTGGCTTTTGAGGAACAACTCCTTTTTGAAACTGCAAGAAATTGATGGCCCACTTTTTTCTTATTATCATGCATATCTGTATTTTTCATTTTTTCTTATAGAGTGGCCAAAATTTATTTTCAAGAACAACACTTTTAGAAACAATTTCTCCCAATTTCCAAAGTCATTTTTATGTAATAAGCAGGAAGTCATTTGTTTAAACCATTCCGATGGAACCTTGAAAAAGGGTTCAAAATAATATGGCTTGAAGAACAGGGATTGGTTTAAAACTGGTTGTCACCAAACAAATAGGTTCGTCTCAACGGGGTTTATCTAGGGGATATGAAGTTTCGGGTAATCATTTGGGCAATGGGGTAAACCTATGCCTCCATCGTCCTCATCAGTGGTTTCACGACTCAAAATTTTGCAATTATCAAGCATATTCGTCATGCTGAGAGGGATCTAAACACACAGTAAAGAAACGATCAGGCTCAAATCTCACTTCGTTTCCTAAATGCTCGGTTTCTCATGCTACGCTTTCCAATGACTATGCAAATACAATCAAAGATGACAATCGACCAATTCAAGATTTCAGAATATATTTTTTTTCTTTTGCCATCTAATGAAGAGTAACACGAGACACATTTATTTTAATCCCTCAGTCATCATAATACATTGCTGGATATCCATATCACAATATTCATGTATCGATAGTAATTATCACGAAATTCAAATCAAAACCAAAGATATCCACTATTAAAAACACACAAAAAAACTTTCCTTTTTTAGTTTTTTTTTAAATCACAATTTTTTTTCATAAAACACAGGTAAATACAATTATGAAATTCACGCCACACAATACACCCCACACTTAATTGGACACTGTCCTCAATGGACATGAAAAACAAGTGGGGGAACACACAAAAACATTTTTTTGTAAACAAAATTCGAAGCACCAAAAAAAATTCGAATACGAAGAATTCACAACAAATAAGGTTAAGAAAATGCAAACCGAGTATTGGGTCGCCTCCCAATGAGCGCTTCTTTACCGTCGTGATAGCTGGACGATGTGGAGCTTAATTTAGGGCAGAGAGGTGGATAACCTCAAGGTTGGAAGGCTGCTCCATTGCCAGGTTGGGTTTCACTTGGTGCCCGTTTACCTTCAAGGTTGAATTGTCCTCACCGAAAAGTTCCACCGTGCCGTATGGATGGATCGTGCAGATTGTGTATGGACCAGACCACCTGGACTTGAGTTTTCCAGCAAAGAGTCGAAGGCGAGTGTTGAACAGAAGCACTTTATCTCCAGACTTGAAATCCTTTCTTTTCAATCTTGCGTCATGGATTCATTTGGTGCGTTCTTTGTAAAGGTGTGTACTTTCATAGGCATGAAAGCGAAACTCCTCCATTTCATGCATCTGGGTCATCCTTTCTTCACCTGCTACTCCTAGATCCAAGTTTAGAGATTTGATAGCCTAGAATGCTTTATGCTCCAATTCCACTGGTAGGTGGCAAGCTTTACCATACACCATCCGATAAGACGAGGTGCCTATTGGATTTTTGAAAGCTGTGCGATATGCCTATAATGCGTCATTAAGCTTAATTGACCAATCCTTGCGAGATTGATCAACTGTTTTCTGGAGTATTTGCTTGAGCTCCCGATTTGTCAGCTCTACTTGACCGCTTGTTTGTGGATGATAGGATGTGGATAGCCAATGTGTCACCCCAAATCGAGCACACACCTTGTCAAATTGACCTTGGAAATGAGTTCCACAACCACTGATTATTGCTCGAGGTACTCCAAATCGGGTGAATAGTTGTTGGAGAAACTTCCCCCACTTTTCTGGCATCATTAGTGGGAAGGGCTTGTGCTTCTGCCCATTTTGACACATAGTAACGACCACCAGGAGGTATTTGTTGCCCGAAGATGATGGGAAGGGTCCCATGAAATCAATGCCCTAGACATCAAAGATCTTGAGGGGTTGAAAAATATGTTGTTGCATTTCATCCCGGCGAGATATGTTGCCAATTCGTTGACAATCATCACAACTTCTAGCAAAGTGGTCGCAATCTCGAAAAATAGTGGGCCAGTAGAATCCTGATTCCAATACTTTTCTTGTTGTAAGATTTCCACTGTGGTGGCCTCCTGCCGGGCCAGAATGGCAATGATGGATGATATTATGTGCCTCGGTGATAGGAACACATAGACGGATTATCCCATCAGAGCCTATCCTGAATAAGAATGGATCACCCCAAAAGTAATGCTTTAAGTCAGCAAAGAACTTTTTCTTTGCTTGATATGATAGGTGTTGGGGAATTCGTCCCACAGCTAGATAATTGGGCATGTCTGCAAACCATGGTCCTTCAGCTTCTTTGATGATGACTTTGAGGAGTTGTTCATCCAGAAATGACTCATTGATTTCGACTGGATCAGAAATAGCAAACTTAGCACCCTCTAATCCAAATAGATTATCACCAGCTACATTTGTGACTCCTTTCTTGTCTTTGATCTCTATGTCAAATTCTTGGAGTAGTAAGATCCATCGAATTAGTCTCGGCTTAGTATCTGCCTTTGATAGAAGGTATCAAAGTGCCTGATGATCTGTGAAGACCACTGCATGAGATAGCACCAAATATGAACAAAATTTGTCGAAGGCGAAAACAATGGCCAACATCTCCTTCTCTGTGGTGATGTAGTTCCTTTTAGCATCATACAAAGTTCTACTGGCATAGTAAATTGGATGGAACCTCTTTTCTTTGTCCCAACACAGTGCCAACTGCATAATCACTAGCATCACACATGAGCTCAAATGGTAGGTTCCAATCTGGAGCCATAAGGATGGGAAAGTTGGTGAGTTTTTGCTTCAAGAACTCAAATGCCAGAAGACATTTCTCATCAAATGAGAAAACTGCATCCTTCTCCAGAAGCTTGGTCAAAGGCTGACTGATCTTGGAGAAATCTTTGATGAAGCGTATGTAGAATCCCGCATGGCCCAGGAAACTACGTATTGCTTTTACAGAAGATGGTGGTGGAAGAGCCGCAATTGTCTCAATCTTTGCACGATCAACTTCAATGCCTTTGTTTGAGATCTTGTGGCCAAGAACTGTTCCCTCTAGCACCATGAAGTGGCACTTCTCCCAGTTTAATGCAAGATGTGTCTCCTCGCATCGAATAAGGACCTTCTCCAGATTTGATAGACAATGATTAAATGAATCTCCATAGACAGAGAAGTCATCCATGAAGACTTCTATAGCATCCTCCACTAGATTCCCAAAGATTGCTGTCATGCCCCTTTGAAATGTGGCAGGTGCATTGCATAACCGGAAAGGGATACGTCTGTACGCAAAAGTACCATATGGACATGTGAAAGTGGTCTTCTCCTAATCTGCTGGATCTATTGGAATCTGAAAGTATCCGGACATGCCATCCAAGAAACAATAGAATTCATGGCCACCCAACCTCTCCAACATCTAATCAATGAAGAGAAGAGGAAAATGATCCTTCCGAGTGGCATCATTCAAACGTCTGTAGTCAATGCAAACGCGCCAACCAGTGATTGTTTGGGTTGGGATGAGTTCCCCCTTGTTATTGGGAACGACAGTCATGACTCCTTTCTTCGGAACGACTTGTACTGGGCTGACCCAAGGGCTTTCAGAGATTGGATAGATTATCGCGGCATTAAGAAGCTTTAGGGCTTCCTTCTTTACCACTTCTCTCATTTTTGGATTTAGGCGACGTTGTGGTGTACAACTGGCTTGTATTCGTCCTCCATAAGAACTTTATGGGTGCAGAAGGATGGACTTATCCCTTGGATGTCTGTGATCTTCCAAGAAATTGCTTTTATGTGTTTCTTCAGTAGAGCCACTAGTTGTTCCTTCTGCTGTGGAGAAAGAGATGAGTTGATGATGACTGGCAATTTGGAGTTGTTGCTTAGGAAGTCATACTCCAAATGTTCTGGTAATGCTTTTAGCTCCAAGGTTGGTGGTTCATCATAGGAAGTTTTCAAGAGAGGGACTTTAGGGAGCTCAACCACCTCCCCCAGTGGTTCTTCCTCTGAAAAATTAGATTCTTCTTTAGTAACTTCTTGTTGTTCCTCAAGATACTCAGAATCTTCCCCTTCTTCTTCAAGATTATTAATTGAGAATACTTCAGACTTGTCTTCCTCCGGGAATATGGTGATGCCCGAAACAGATGCCATTTCAATTTCATCATCAATTGAGTTTAGGTCATCATGAACATGAGCATATCTCATTCCATCATTTAGTTGGAAGGTGGCACTGGCATCTCCAACTCGTAGAGTGAGCCTCCCATCATGAACATCCACTATAGCTCTGGCCGTTGCTAAGAAGGGACAGCCAAGGATTAGCAAAACGTCAGTCTCGTCGGTATCCATGATCACAAAATCTGCTGGAAAGACAAATGGTCCCGCCTTCACGAGCACATATTCTAGGATTCTATGGGGGTGTCGTGTGGATTTGTCTGCATGTTGGATAGTCAACTTGGTCGGAGTGAGCTCGCCTAGCCCAAGTTTTTGATAGAGGCAAAATGGCATTACATTAATGCTTGCCCCGAGATCGGCCAAACTTCTTTCCACTTCTAGTTTAGCGATGATGCATGGTAGAGTGAAACTTCCTAGATCTTTGAGTTTTTCCGGTAGACTCTTGTTGAGGATTACGGCATAGCATTCTTCATTCAGGACAACCGAAGCCACATCTCCCAACTTTCTCTTGTGTGTGAGAATCTCCTTCATAAATTTGGTATATTGAGGCATTTTGGAGATGACTTCAATGAACGGGATGTTGACATGCACCTTACCCAAAAGATCATGAAACTTTTGGTAAGCTGCATCTCTCTAAGCTCCGTGTTCAATTTGACAGGATAAGGAGCTTTTAGTTGGTATGGTGGCAGAGTTGGCACATATGAGGGATTTAGCTCAGTCTTCTCGTTATGCAGGTCGGCTTCCATTATGACATTTTTGGCTGACTTCTTTGGAGTATGTGGACTTGGTTTGGTGATCTTAATGGGTATGGGATCGGTTTCCTTCCCAATTTGAAGGATGATAACCTTTAGTTGCTCCTTGGGATTATTCTCTGTGTTGCTAGGAAGAGTGCCAAGGGGTCTTTCACTCAACATGTTGGCCAGATTGGTCATTTGTAATTCAATGTTGGAGATGGATGCTTGTTGTCCCAACATGAGCTTCTCAAGCCTATCAACTCTGCTAATATCTTCAGTTTGGTTGTTAGAGGCTCCACTAGTTTGACCCTAATATTGAGGTCGTGCTTGATATCCTGGTGGGCCTTGATTTTGTGGCCTTCTATCGAAATCCTTGTTGGGATTATAGTAAGTGAGCTAGGGCCGCTGATTCGGATATGGATGTTGTGGAGGATTTGCCCAAAGTGTGGACGAATAACTGCAGTAGGTGTTGCGCCTGGTGGGTGATAGTTGTTGTTGAGGCGATTATTGTTATTGAAGAACCCTCCTTGACGATTTTGTGGGTACCCCTGTCCCAAGTAGTCAACCTTTTCTTTGCGAGATCGACCAAAGTTGCGGCAGTCTATATTGTTGTGATCTTTTCCATCACACCAATCACACTCAAAGATTTCAGCTACTGGTGTTGAATTTGTGGAAGTCTTCAACTCAAAAAGTTGTTGGGTGATTGCCTCCATTTGTAGCATCATTGTTGTCTGAAAGTCAGATGACTCTTAGAAATTATTTACAGAAACTGCGCGAGGAGCAGTTCTTCTTGCCCAATTTCTTGTCTTGGCTGCTATATCTGCATAATGTGTCATGGCCGCATCGGCTGTTAGTTGAGTAATATCACCATCTGTTGCTTGGTTGATGAGGATTGTTGTGGCATCATCTAGACCTTTTCCGAAGACGTCGGCAAGCTGCTCTTGTCCGAACCCATGGTGAGGGCATGAATGAAGTAATCCTTGGAATCGTCTCCAGGCGTCATAAAGTGGTTCTCCACTTCGCAGGCAAAAGTGAGATATTTTTTCATTGATTTCGTCTGTCGTCCCAGGTGGTGAAGGTTCCTGGTGCTTGAGATTCAAGCCACGACTTAGCTCTTCCTCTAAGTGAGAAAGGGAAAAGTCGTAACCTGATAGCATTTGCTGTGACTCCTTGGTGTTGGACGGAGTCACAAATTTCCAGAAAGACTTGTACATGATGGACGAGGTTGTCAGCGTCCTTTCCTTCGAACTGACCGGCGTTTTGCACCATCTGGATTGTGCTATGGCGTAGTTCGAAGTTTGTTGTTATGATGGGTGATCTGGTAATGCTGGAGGCAATACTAGATGCGCTTGGTTTAGCGAAATCACCCAATGTTCTTTGACGGGATGCCATGATGGTCTTTTCTTCCTTCACCTCCTTATAGTCTTCAAATTTGGTCTCACTATCTCCGACTTCAGAGGGATTGCTCACTGTCTCGTAGACAACTTCTTCAATTTTTCGTTTGTAAAATCTGGTATTTGGTCGATTCATAAAAGGGATCCTGAATGAAAAACTAAAACAGTAAAAACCCGTGAAAAGCAAGGTAGGAAAATAAATAAAATAACTTAGGGAAATAATTCTTTTTCACACAACTATAAAAACTCTCCGGCAAAGGCGCCAAAATTTGATGTCGCTAAAAGCGCATGCAAAAATAATCCAGAAAGTGAAACAGACTGGAGTCATATTTCCCTAGGGTCTTTTCTGTTGTCTTACTCAAGTATTAGTGATCTAATGTATAACAAACTGATTGATTTAATTAGACAATGGTTTGAAAAAGTTGTTTGGATTAGTTTCCCCCTCAATGTTTCATCCCGAATAAACTCAATTCAATTAACAAGTTTTAATACGAATTTCATCCCATCGTATTTTCTAAAATTGAATTCGTGCAATTTCGTACCAATGAATTCGTTCAGCTTCCAATTACTAATCTCGGTTTTCACGTCATAATAAATAATTGAAAGTTGATAGATGAAGACACAAATAACACTCAAGATGGACCAACAAATCAATCCTGATTGCTCATGAATTTTACCTGAATGGTTCTTGTGTTTGGCGATCAAGGAGTCAGAGTGCTGTTTCTAGACAACTCTGTCTTCCAACAATTTCCTAAATGGAGGGTCTCTCTTCTCATCCGGGAACAAGATAAACACAAGATATGTTAATTTGTCATAAATCCGTTAGTTAATTTGTTTTAAAAGAGTTGGGATCTTTAATTTCATCGAGGGTTCCACCATGCCAAACAACGTGTTTTTTTAGTTCTTCATTAAAACGGACGAAAGGAGGAAAGATATAGTTATCTCAAGTGAGGTAACCAATTGTATAAACCTAACCCCACTCCAAAAATAAATATAAGTATAGCACAAATTGGACGAAAGGGCGGAAGGACTTAGCTAACTCAAGTGAGCTAGCTAATCGTATAAACCAAACCCCACTCCGAAAATATAAATATGGGGATACGGAAGGACTTAACTAACTCAAGTGAGCTAGCTAATCGTATAAACCAAATCCCCACTTAAAAAGTAGATATGGGAGTATGGAGGTAGTCCGTCCCCATTTAACCCACGATAGTAACAGCGCGAAAATTAAACGCATAAGAATAGAAAATTTACCAAAACCTTGTTGTTCGTTCACCAAGTGGAAGAAACGAGAATAGAGTAAGTATGTTATACCAATAAATTACCTAGAAGTTAAATAAACTTATACTAATTTACGAATGCAACATATTACCGCTAATCTCAAGAGTTGGAAATGTTATCGTATGAAGCATATGACTTTGGATTGAAACACGAATATTACAACAAAGATTTGGCAGAGTTTCGACAAGGAAGAAATGGAATGGAAACAACAAGAAGAGAAAGGATTCTATCGTCAATGAGTCTCCCAATTTGCCGCTGTACACTGCTATTTATAGAGCAAGCTAGCTAGTCCAAATAAATGAACAAGAGCCCTTCTTTGAAGTTTACAGTTGCTTGTCTTAAATTGTTGTGCCTAACAGCTACTTGCTTGAGCTAGTTGCTTGCGGAGAAGACGTGGTCTCCGAATTCACCAGCTAGCTTCCCATTCCCCCACTTTCCATTCCATGCACACGTAGCTTCGTGGTGGAATGTATAAGCATTGAGCTTGGTTGCATGGGGTACAAATTTGACAATTTTGAGTACTCATCTCGAGCTCACAATCCCATCTCCAACGTTGGTTTGTCATTTCTCCTTTTCAATCATGATTTGAGACGAGTTGACCCTTTTCTCTCCTACATGTCTCTGAATATCCTGAAACATTAAAACACACAAAACCAAGCGTAAAACTAGAA